AGGTGCCACCGGACTCTTTGTAGTCTTCTGCTGGTGGCATCTGACTTAGATGATGAAAATGAACATGCGTTGGTCTGCACTGCTTTTGATCGTTATCGAGGAGAACCTGTCATCAGCATGGACTCATGTCCTCTGGAATGGTGGTTGAAGCATGAAGGGACATATGAATCTTTAGCGCATCTGACACGTAAATATCTTGCCACCCCGGCTACAACAGTGCCATGAGAATGCCTGTTCTCACTTTCAGGTGACATTGTAAACAAGAAGAGGGCAGCATTATCTCCTGCAAATGTAAACAAACTTGTTTGTCTGAGCGATTGGTTGAACAAGAAGTAGGACTGAGTGGACTTGTAGGCTCTAACGTTTTACATTGCTTTGTTTTTGAATGCAGTTATTTTTTCTACATAATTCTACATTTGTAAGTTCAACTTTCATGATAAAGAGATTGCACTACAGTACTTGTATTAAGTTAATTGAAAAATATTATTTATTTTATTTTTACAGTACAAATATTTATAATAAAAATAAATATAAAGTGAGCACTGTACACTTTGTATTCTGTGTTGTAATTGAAATCAATATATTTGAAAATGTGGAAAACATCCAAAAATATTTATATAAATAGCATTCTATTATTGTTTAACAGCACGATTAATCGCATGATTAATCGCGATTAATTTTTTTAATCACTTAGCCCTAGAAAATACTGATTTGACAGAATCGGAATGTTTGTGAGAATGTGTAGGTTTTTGTGATCATTTATCAATGTTTTATTTGACTTTTGTTGTAGTATTATACATTGTGATGTAATGTCACCTCTTGTCTCAGAACATCATGAGTCTTCATATTCTACCGTGACATAATGATGTCAGAGTGTGATATATCAGGCTATGATGCAGTGTCATGTTGTGATGTCATCATGCCATGTGGTGGTGATGTGCCATATGTCTCAAGACATGCTTTAGCCCATTACATTATGACACGATGTCCTATCTCATACAAACTGAAGCAACACACTTCAACTTTTTGTCCTGATTTGAGATTAAATCATATTTAAAATCTGGGAATTATCCATGGGACAGAAACTCCAAATTCAACCAGCTGTGCTCATTTGTGTCGTGGTAGCACCTAGGAGTCCCAGTCATGGACCAGGGTCCCATTGTGCTAGGCACTGTACAAACACAGAACAAAAAGAGTCCCTGCCCCAAAGAGCCTGCAGTCTAAGCAAGGGCTGGTACATTGAGATACCAGTCATCTCTGGGGGATAAGGAGAAGGAGTTATTTTAAAGCTGACATGCAATGGGACAGGGAAATGGGTTTATACTCTTCTTCTTCGATAGGAAAAAGGACCACTTTTTTCTGACTATTTTTAACACTAGCAGTTTGGGTCTGGTCTACCCTCCCTTCCTGGAAGACTCTATGGGTAAGTAGAGACCCAGTAGGCTTATGACGTCACAGATACCAAGCCAATGAAACCTGACTGAGAGATGAAGGGTTTCGTTTTGGTCAAACTGTTCAAGGCTCGTCCCCATTGACTGCAGGTGTTTGGGGGTGGGGTTTAACGGGGAGATAACTACACGGGTTATCTCCCTAACAAGGCCAGCTGCAGGGCTTGCTGAGCTAGTTAAGGTCAGTCCTATAGCCCCTGTCCACGTTGACCCCCCACAGTACTTTAATCTGCAGTAAAACCACAGTGCCCGCTCTCCGCTGTGTTTTTACACCAGGCTAGCTAATGCATGTTAGTTATTCTGTAGTAAGAACACCCCTCTTTTGTTAAAGAAGACAAACCCTAAAACTCTTTTAAACACTGATGTAACTCCTGTGCCCACCAGAGAGTTGAAAGGAAGGATGATGATCTCCTGATAGGGCTGAAAGAGCTCCCACCCCCATTGCTCTAGGTCCCCTAATGAGACCTCCAGCTAAAACAAGCAGGGGAAGCAGAAAAATAAAAGCAAAACCTCTCAGACGGATCTCAAAGAAACCAATAGCCTTTCCTTTTGCAGGTTGCCTGTCAAGGTATTTTGTAGAGACTGGCCCAAGCCTCATAACTCAGAGCTGCATCTGAATTTCCAGCATTCCATTCCTAGTGACTGTTTGCGTTAGGGTTTTTTCCCCCTGGGCCCAGTCCCTAACGGATATTGAGCCACTAGAAGATGACTAAGTGCATAGCCATTTCTATCACAGACCATTTAAAGGTGCATGGATAAAATGTAAGTGGCTTGTTGTATAAGCCTGGACTTGAGAAATAAACTGCACCTATTTCCTGTACCGTCTCCACTCCTTTTGCTGACCCCACTTATACAACCAGTTTCAGCTCAAACAAAAGCAGCATTAGGTTAGAATTGCCTGTCAAATGCAGTGGGATTTTGCAGGCTGGAAAGAGGAACCTACTGAGTGACTAAATAAACAAGGACACAGAAAACAAGACTCCATGGGGAAAGCTGATCCTCCTTGGGGAGTGCCCCAATTCATTCAGCAGAAGCCAGAGTTGAAATGGAGATTATTCTATGCATGGGTTTTGGGGGTGAGGGAAGGTCTCTGTGAACTAACACGCTAGGCCAGGGGTGGCCAACCTGTGGCTCCGGAGCCACATGCGGCTCCTTGTATAGGCACCAACTCCGGGGCTGGAGCTACAGGCGCCAACTTTCCAATGTGCCGAGGGGGGCTCACTGCTCAGCCCCTGGCTCTGCCACAGGCCCTGCCCCCCCCCTCCACCCCTTCCCGCCCCCTCCCCTGAGCCTGTTGTGCCCGAGGAGCTGATTGGCAGGGCTGCCGGTGGGTGGGAGGCGCTGGGAACGGGGGGGGGGGAGCTGATGGGGGGCTGCTGACGTATGACTGTGGCTTTTTGGCAATGTACATTGGTAAATTCTGGCTCCTTCTCAGGCTCAGGTTGGCCACCCCTGCTCTAGGCTGAGAGCTGCAGTGTGAAGGAGGGTCGTTTCTAGTGGCTTTTGGGAGGAGGCTTGCACTGATCTTAATTTTTTGAGGCCCAATCCTATCAGGTATAGAGCACCCTCAGCTCCTTTCACTTCAGTAGGAGTTGAGGGCACTCAGCACCTTATAGGATGGGGGGCTCAAAGAGAGAATGTGGTGCAAAGATCCTGTCCAGCATTCCCTAAGTCCAATGGAAAGACTCCCATGGACTTCAACTGGGAGTGGGATTGATCCCTAACAGGTCATCATGAACTTGACCGTCATCTTAACGGTAACTATTTCATATATAATTTAGGATTGCTGGTAGCACTGCATATACTTAAGGTTGCCCAACACTTCCTGTTAGACTCTCTCCCAGCCAGAGGAGGGGGTAGATGGGCAGAGCCAGGGAAACTTGCGTCAAAAAATTAGTAAAAGCTTGGATGATCTTCAATTTCCTTTCGGCATCTCATGGGAAATTTGGAAAAATTTACACACGTCTGTGTGCTGACGAAGTGAGTAGGTTTCATCATGATTTTGGTTTCCCCAGCTTCTAGGAAGCATTGCTTTGTTCTTGTTTCATAAACTCTTCCATTAGGGGCGGGGCGGATAGAGGGAGTTTAGTGGGAACAATGGGTCTTACCGTAGGCTCTAAACTCAGTCAGATGTCCTATCACAATGTTTCTGTATTTCCCCCCCCTGTTTTTCATCACTAATAGCACTTGCCTTAAAAAGCTACTGGGCGAGAAAATGAGGTGCCGAACCCCACACTGAAAGTCAGCTGGAGTTGGGTACCAGGCCCCTTTGAAAATCCTGGCGCCTCTTCATTTCTTGGCTCACTTGTTTCTGCTGGCACCTTAGAAACTAACAAATTTATTTGAGCATAAGCTTTCGTGGGCTACAGCCCACTTCATCGGATGCATGTAGTGGAAAATACAGTAGGAAGATATATATATAAACACAGAGAACATGAAACAATGGGTGTTACCATACACACTATAAGGAGAGTGATCCGTTAAGGTGAGGTATTATCAGCAGGAGAGAAAAAGAACTTTTTGTAGTGGTAATGAAAATGGCCCATTTCCAGCAATTGACAAGGAGATGTGAGGAACTGTGGGGGGCGGGGGGGGGAGAATAAGCATGGGGAAATAGTTTTACTTTGTGTAATCCACTCCCAGTCTTTATTCAAGCCTAATTTAATGGTGTCCAATTTGCAAATTAATTCCAATTCAGCAGTCTCTCGTTGGAGTCTGTTTTTGAAGTTTTGTTGTTGTAATATTGCGACTTTTAGGTCTGTAATCGACTGGCCAGGGAGGCTGAAGTGTTCTCCAACTGGTTTTTGAATGTTATAATTCTTGACGTCTGATTTGTGTCCATTTATTCTTTTGCGTAGAGACTGTCCGGTTTGGCCAATGTACATGGCAAAGGGGCATTGCTGGCACATGATGGCATATATCACATTGGTAGATGTGCAGGTGAACGAGCCCCTGATGGTGTGGCTGATGTGATTAGGTCCTATGATGGTATCCTCTGAATAGATATGTGGACAGAGTTGGCAACGGGCTTTGTTGCAAGGATAGGTTCCTGGGCTGGTGTTTTTGTTGTGTGTTGTGTGGTCACTGGACCTACATGTGTGTATGGTAACACCCATTGTTTCATGTTCTCTGGGTATATATATATATATCTTCCTACTGTATTTTCCACTACATGCATCCGATGAAGTGGGCTGTAGCCCACGAAAGCTTATGCTCAAATAAATGTGTTAGTCTCTAAGGTGCCACAAGTACTCCTGTTCTTTTTGCCGATACAGACTAACACGGCTGCTACTCTGAAACTTGTTTCTGCTGCTTATTCCTCACCAGTAGTCCGTGGCATTCCACCCAACAGCAACCCATCCATCCCGTTTTCTGTACGGATGGGCTGCAAAGGGAGAGTCCATCCAGTCCAGAAAGGCAGGGGCGTCAATATGGGCTGACTAGGGTATGGGGGTGGGGTGGGAAGAAGAATTGGGCAGCTCAGTGATTGGTGGGAGGGAATGGACTCCAAGGCAGCCCCATAAGCCTGAATTGTCCTATTCACATTTCCAGGGCCCATCGCAATGACATGGAGAACATTTTCCCCTTCCTCTTCCTTGGGGCCATCTACTCCCTGCTGGACCCCAATCCCACCGTGGCAAGGATCCACTTCCTGATCTTCTGCGTGGGGCGGATAGTTCACACTGTGGCATACCTCCTGCAGCTGAAAGCTCCCACACGCTCGGTGGCCTACAGCGTGGCACAGCTGCCCTGCTTCTCCATGGCGCTGCAGATTCTCTTCGCCGTCATCACACACTGGTAACGTTAAAGATAACCCGCCGCCACTGGTGCTGCAACGTGGATTAGAAAGACACGCCTTTGCTGCTTTCCCAAGAGAAGGACTCATTCTGCTGTGGCTTCAGTGTCGGCATCTCCCAGCTGGGTGGAGCTCAGGGCTCTGGGAAATCCCCTCTGGGTGTGTGCAAGGCCCTATTTCCAGGAGCAGGCTGCAGAGGTGGAAGGATGTGCTCCTCGCAGCTGGGTGCTCATGCATTAAGCGCTCAGTAATGCCACAGCATTAGTACCACAGCAATAGCATTGTGGTGTCTTCCAGTCTTCTCGCTGGTGACCTGGGGGGAGGGAATGATGCCAAGTTAAGAACACAACTAAACCAGGAAGTGGTGAAACTCTCTAAGCAGCCTGGCCCCATCACTCTGGGGAGAGAAAAGCGGGAGACCCTTGGTCCCCCTAACTCACTTTGATGGGAGTGTGTACGGTGAAGAGATAGGATGTCCCATCTCCTCTCTTCGGCAAGAATACCTGGTGATGTAGCGGAAAAGCTAAAGTAGGAACAAACTGAGTCTTTGTATAAAACAAACCCCTGCCCCCAAAACCTCATTTTTACTCTTTGATTAGCGAGACCTGACTCTCCGTTTGTTCGTTTGTTGTTGTTTTTTAACCTCCTACACAGGAAGGAAACAAGTTGGTGGTGCAGCATCTGATACTGCCGGGCACATCTCTGCTAGGAAACAGAACCCAAAGGGTTAAATCTTTCAGAGGGTGGCAGTAAAAACACAGAGGGAAACAGAACTAGTGCAGGTCCCCCTTCCAAACCCAAATTACATCATCAGTCCAAAGAGGCAGCTCTCCTCTGGGCCCCGGAGGTCAAGATTTCACTTGACTGTCAACTCCAGAGCAGACAGCTCCATTTGCTTTTGGAGTGAGAAGCGGGAGTTGGCTCCGGGCACATCAGGCCATCTCCAGACTCCCTCCTGGAAAGAGCATTGAGCTCATAAGAAGGTCGGGGCGCTCAGCACAGATCTGGGCCTTTTCCATTTCCTACAGGTACCTACAGGGGCGGCTCTATGTTTTTTGCCGCCCCAAGCACGGCAGTCAGGCAGCCTTCGGCAGCGCACCTGCGGGCGGTCCGCGGTCACGCGGCTTCGGCGGCGTTTCTGCAGGTGATCTGCCGGTCCCGCGGCTTCGACGTATCCGCTGCCATATTGCCGCCGAAACTGCGGGACCACCGGACCTCCCGCAGGCACGCCGCTGAAGGGGCTTCCTGCGCATGTGCCTGGAGCCGCCCCTGGGTACCTAGATGTTCTGTCATTTCTACATAGCTTCATATGAGATGTAGGGCTGAATGGAAGACCACAAACCTATGTATGTTACACTGTTCCCCTCTTGTGCTTCCTTGGAGTTATGAAGTATATATTCATAGTAAAATGAATACTATGTATTCCTCTTCTCTACCATTCCTTATGCCTCTGTGTATACATCTGTGAGCCAGGCAGAATACCACCTCATGCCTCTGTTCGGAGGCAAAGTCCTTTGACGTGCTTGGATAAAAAGGGCTATTAAAGCATGTAACACATGGAGGCAGAAGCAGCGCTTTTCTGGGTGATCTCTTGGCCCCTCCTAACTTCTCCCTGGTACAAGGTTGCCTTCTTAAAGGAGCTCTCTTCCCACCATGCCTTGCTGGAGCTGGCCCTTTAAATTTGGCAGAGCCACGGAGCTGCAGCCCTAAAGCAGCCATGTTTAGTGAGTGGCTCCATCTCCTGCCTTCCTTCCTAGCAGGTGAGTCTCTCTCCTGTTCAGTTTTCTCTTGCTCATGAGGATGGGCCATTCTCGCCAAGTGCATGATGATGTTACCCTCGGAAATAATGTTAGTCCTCTTCCCGCTCACCTCCCATGACAAACAAGGAGTTAATTACATGGCCAGGAAGGGCAAATTGGAGCAGGAGCTGGAACCCTGGTAGGCCAGAGAGGTTCAGGTAGGGGATGATTGCTCTCCCTTGCTGCATTGGGAGCTGGGGGTGGGGGTGGCAACAGACCTCCCTGGTTCAGTCTGAATTTTGTGGTTAGGAGTTTTCCCTCCTTGTAAGTGAAGATGAGCTAAAGTATTTATTCCACCCCCTTTTTTTTTAGAAAGAGGGGGAGCTGGTGAGGTTCTAAATCATCCTGGGTTTTGCCCTATCTCAGGGCCCATTTATCTGACTCCTGTTCTCTTCAACCCTGCCTCTGCCTTCAAAGTGTGTGTGTGAGGGGAAGAGCTGGATAAAATGGGACCTTGACTTGACCCATTGTTGCTTTTTGGGGGGGGGGGGGGGGTAGAATCTATTTTTGGGGGGGGGGGGAGGGGGAGCACAGAAAAATCCAGTTTGCAGAGCTGCTAGCTCTCGACTTTCACTGAGAGTCTTGTGATGTTTGTCCCTCATAAAGTCCTCTTTCCTGGAATCATGATCACATGACTCCAGGAATCTTGGCTTTCTTTAAAAAACAAACCGTTCATTTCCTGGCCTGAGGGTTACAGAGAGAAACTTGGAAAAGTGAACTGTAAAAACTCGGCCCGGGGGGGAGGGGGCGGCACAAGGCAAATAAATAAATAAATAAAAACCCAACAGGTTTGTATTTATTATTTTTAAATATCACGGGTTTGGGGGGTGCTGACTCCTGCTTCTTTTTTTAAAGACTTGGGGTTGGCAGTGCTGAGTTTGGGTTTCTCTGGACCTGTCCCAAGACAGTACCTGTTTGTCTGAAGCACTCCACCAACAGGCAGAGCTCTTGTTTTCCTCCTGGCTGCCCTCGCGTGTGGCCGATCATGGCACTGCCCATGTCCTCTACCCCAGCTAGATGCAAACAGCATCCTAAGGAGCCCCCCCGATTGGCCCAGTGCAAAGGGAATGTGTATATCTGTACTCTCCCTTCCATGGCTTAGGCATGACTCTTCCACAGCAGGCTTTAATAAGGGGGTTAGGGCGGGGCTGGAGCAGGGAAGATGGACTGAGCTGTGGTCCCTTCACAAGGCCATACCTAAGATACACCCCCTTGGCCTAAAGCCAAACTACCTTTAGGAATGAACTGTGGAAGTGGGGCTATAGTTAAAAACATAGGTGTGCACCATGCCCCTGTGAAGGGAACAAGTATAAACTCCTGCCACCTCACACCTGGATCGACCAGGGGAAGTCGGGGCGTAGGTTGCCGGACTGGCTAGCGTCCAAGGTATCGGAAACACGGGGTGGGAGCTGTAACGATTTAACAGCTGTAAAGGAGAGAGAGATCTAGGTCCCTCTTCATGTGCTGAAGGGAACAGCATACAGGTGGGGCAAGATGAAGGTGTAGGACTCTCATGAGCAGCTCTGCTGCTTCCTCCACTAGAGCCGACTTCTCAAACAAACCCCAGGGAAGGAAGGGGGGGGTAACGAAAGACACGGGGGAAAGTTCATAAGGAATTAAATTCTATTACAAGCTAAAGCAAAGAAAATAGTTCTCCCCACTCCCTGACCCCTTCAAGGTCAAGTACTCTTTGTTCTCTCTCTCTCTCTCTCTCTCTCTCTCTCTCACACACACACACACACACACACACACACACACACACACACACACACACACACACACACACACACCCCCGAGGCATAGCATTATTATTACTGATAGACAGGTCTTACTCTGTCAGTAAATGTAAGGAGATCATGGAAATCTGACCTCAAATAAGGAGTGACACACAGAGAAACATGGTCTGTTCACACCTGCCTGTTTGCTGTAGATTCCAGGTCTGAGATTGGTGAGTGTAAAAGGGGAGCTGTGCTATGGGGCGAAAAGGGTTTGTTTCCTCCGAGGCGTTTTTCGTGTAGTGTAGTGATCGTTCCATTGCCTAGATGAATGTGGAAATGCCAACGTGGGGGTGGAGCAGGTTAGAGCCCTGCAGCGGGACAGGTATCCCGTGGGTATCACAGAACCTGCTGTCATAACAGCGGGAGCGGGTGGGTTTGGGTGGGCAAAAAAAACAGAGTGCGGTAATTTGTAGGAAGACATGATATCTTTTTAAATAAAGGTTTTAGTACTTCTATTTAAGCGAGGCACAGAAAGGGATTTGACATCTATTATAACAAGAGTTAAAGTATTTTTCTACATGGTTTAAGCAAGATTTGTTTTATTTCTTTAGTGGTAAAAATTGTGTCTGAATTCCATTAATATATATAATATATTAACTGACCGTTTGGGGTTTTTTTAGTAGCCTGGGGGAATCTTTCTCTCTTGTGGGATTTGCTGGGTCTCAGGTTTTTGCGGTTGGGAACAGGATAAAAATGCAAGAAACAAGGCAGGAGTGGGTATTGCGGAGAGGGATGAGAGTGGGGTTAAAAAAATAATCCCTCTAGAACAGGTACCAGGTGTGGAAGAAAATCCAACCTGGCAATGTAACCAAAATATGGCCATTGATACACGAAACTGTAACCTGGTGGTAGGGAGACTGTTCCAGGAGGGATCAATGGGAATTCAGTGTCTTCTCTTCCTTCTCACAAAGACCCTGCAGAATCTATGTCAACTCTCACCCATTAGTGACAGCTTACTCTGTGTGATGTTACAGCACCCCCCTGTGGTGTCAGCCAGACGCGCGCACACACCCATGCAATGTCCAAATCGTAGTAATTTATGTCTGTAGGAGTTTTTCGCAGACTGAATAATAAAAATAACATACGCTTGGCTCTATTTCTTTATTGGAACTAAACAGAATAGAAACGCAAATAAGGTGCTTTGCATGTTCTTGTCTTTTTGTTGTTGTTGCATTTTCTTTTTAGACTTGCTAGCTAGTAAGTCTGCTTCTGTGGAAAGTGATATTTGTATGTTTGATAATGTCACTGTTCACAGCAGAAGACTTGTTAGCTAGCTGGGAGGCTGTGAAAAGTGATATTAACAAACAAGCACATATCACTTTTCACAGCAGACTTACTCAGCCCTGGCAAGCCTAGGGACAAGTTAAGCCTTGGATGGGGAGGTGGGTAGGGAGACAGTGGGGGCCCAGGGTCATGGGCTGGATGGGTGAGGGTCCAGAGGAGGCAGTGGGAACCAGGGGTAATAAGGGGGGTGGTGAGCCAGGGTTGAAGCTGGAAACCTGAGCCCCACTTCCCCCAGGAAGATGGGAACTCATACTGGCTGGCTCCAGAGGAGGGGGAGGGCCCAACCCCTGCTGGTGGACCCGGGGGAGGGATTGCTGCTTTGCCACCCTCCCCTCCCCGATCAGCACCCAGGAGGCTGTGGCTGCAAGAAAAGCCCCTGATGGCCGCATGCAGCCACGCTGGCCACATTTGAGAAACACTGAGCTAGACTATCAGCCCTGCTGTTCCGTGCTGATTTGGAAACTGGGATGTGTTGATTCCCTCTGAGAAAATGTTGATGAAAACAAAACTTTGGTTTCAGCCAAATTTTCAGTGGAAGATTTCCGCTTGTCAGCAGGTCAAACTGAAAATCCTCCCCTGTGACGTTATCTGATTAAAATATGACCATATAGATCATTGTTGCAACCACTGTTATATATTTGCAGCAAATATTGTACTAAGGTTGTCGAGTAAGATGTCTATGAAAAGGTTATGATTAGCTGGTTATGATTATGCTATCTGTATGCCTGTATCATTTTTGTATTTAAAGTTATAAGTATTGACTCTATACCTGGATTTCAAATGTTGGCTCCTGGGGTAATGCCTACTAAGTAATCAGCCAGATATGCCTTGTAAGATATCTGCAAAATGTTATAATTTGCCAGATATGATCATCTTGTTTATACGTTTGTATCACCTTTGTATTATGGGTTATAGATATGTATGTATTTCAAACTTGTGCTATGCTTCTGGGTGACACCCCAGACACTGCCTACCCTGCTTGATGGCCCATTAAGGACCATCAGCTGTACAACTGACCCATTGAGAGAAGGCAGATACACCTTATGACTCAGCAAGGCAGGCAGGGACATGCCCATGGAGAGAACTCTAAGGCTTCCAAGCCATGTGCTGGGCAGCTTGTGTTTGAAACAAAGGAAGCACAGGCCGCATGGCAAGAGACTATAAAAGGCAGCTGCATCTTCTCAATCCTGCTTCTTACCTCTGGAGTAACTTTGCTACAAACTGAAG